GCATCAATTCTAATAGTGAGAGATTAGAAACACTTCATGGCCATTAAGCCTTAAAAGAAGAGTGACTTTCAATGCCTCCTTAAGAAAACTATCCAAAATAGACCACGGGAGAGAGGGAGGGAGGGAGGGAGGGAGGGAGGGGTTCGAGTGTCACAGTGTGCAACATGTCACTGTGTACTTGTCTCAAGAGAGGGGCAGAAGTGGACAGCTGCTGCCTCCCCCCTGCTGCTCCGCCCACGCCCAGCGCTCAGAGGACTTCTCACCCGTCCCCAGACGCACCCGCTGACGCTGTGCCCTCAAGCGTGTTCCCACTGACGCCCACAAAACCCTCTACCCTCACCTTCCTGTCACCGACACCCCACAAAACCCTCCCCTCCCCTTCCTGTCTCTCCAGAAACCACACGCGTCCACACACACTTCCGACCGCAAACACCACGGGTCACTCTGTGCTTACACACCATGCCCTGCCTCGTTCTGCGCCACTGCTGCCTACACTCCACTGATGGGTAACGGGAATTTGTGTCAACAGTCCCGAGCCGGTTCCCATTTTTCCTGTCTTTTGCTATCATAAAGGCGGTAGTGCATATTCTTGTGTGTGTGTGTGTTATTTCACATTCTATCCATGGGATTTTACCTGTCGCATAAATTCCTAGGAGCAGTGGTGGTTTTGAGGAAGGGTTAATAGGGTGGCTAGGTACAGGATTTGCAGATTTCACTGTATCCCTGTTTTGTTTGTTTGTTTTTTAAATGTGTACCATATATATTACCTATTCAAAAAAAAATAAAGTATTTCAAAAACACGGCTACTTGCCAGACTGCTTAAATGCTTTCCCCTCTATATTTATATATTTGTTTCAATATAATTTACAATTAAGGCCAAGTGATAATTATTCCAAAATTTCTTAAGTCAAACTTCCATAAACAGCCCTGTGGCATTTTTGTGAAGAATGGAAAATAGGGATTTTAAAAAAGCAATCCTATGGGGGGGCTGGCACTGCGGCATAGCGGATAGAGCTGTTGCCTGCAGTGCCGGCATCCCATGTGGGCGCCGGTTCTAGTCCCGGCTGCTCCACTTCTGATCCAGCTCTCTGTTATACCCTGGGAAAGCAGTAGAAGATGGTCCAGGTCCTTGGGCCCCTGCACCCGAGTGGGAGACCTGGAAGAAGTTCTAGGCTGCTAGCTTTGGGTCGGCGCAGCTCCGGCTGTTGCGGCCAACTGGGGAGTGAACCAACGGATGGAAGGCTTCTCTCTCTCTCTCTGCCTCTCTGTAATTTTGCCTTTCAAGTAAAATAAATAAATCTTTAAAAAAAAAAGTTAAAGGCAATTCTGCAACAAATTGGACTGTGACAACTTCTCTTGAAAGTAACGAGAAGGGTGCAGGCGTCTGGCAGGGCAGGTCAGTCTCCGCTGCGACACCGGCATCGCGTGCCACCATGCTCCTGGTCCCCGAGGTCCTGCTTTCCCCTCTAACCACAGCAGGTTTTCTTCTGAAAGTCCCATGTATTCCCACACTTGTAATGAAAGTGCCTAAGTTTCTGTCTCGAATACTCTGTTTTTAAACTCTATTTCCTGTTTTTTGTTTGTTTGTTTGTTTTGTAAACTGTCTTACTAAATGACCTGAATCTCAATCTAGTCCAGTAATTCAAGTTTTTGCTGTGTTAAACTTCTAGGTACCAGAGCAAAAGATTAACCAATAATTCTTCCAGAATCAACCCGGTGGTGGTTTCCCCAGCATTGAAATTAGTAAGTCACTGGTGGTGGTGGACTATTTTTCAGCTGCTTGGCCACACAGCTCTTGGCCCCACGCTGCAATTTTATCATTTCAAGCTGGGAAGCCTATTTAAGTATCACATCTAGCCAAGTACTTTAAAATTCACCCTGTGTCAGAGTGCCTGGTCTGAGTCCTGGCTCTGCTTCTGATCTGGCTTCCTGATGATGTATGTCACAAGGACCAGAGCTCCTGCCATTCCTGTGTAAGACCCAGACTGAGTTCCAGGTTCCCGGCTTCAGCCTGATCCAGCGCTAGCTGTTGTGGGCATTTGGGGAATGAATCAGCATGAATATTCAAACAAAAATAAAATTCACCAAAACTTACGGTTTAAAAGCTTTTCTTTCAGTGACCCTGAAGTAGGGTTGCCTGATATAGCAACAATACAGGATGGGGGCCGGCACTGTGGCGTAGCGGATAAAGCCGCCGCCTGCAGTGCCGGCATCCCATATGGGCACCAGTTCAAGTCCTGGCTGCTCCACTTCCGATCCAGCTCTCTGCTATGGCCTGGGAAAGCAGTAGAAGGTGGCCCAAGTACTTGGGCTGCTGCACCTGGGTGGGAGACTAGGAAGCAGCTCCTGGCTCCTGGCTTCAGATCAGCCCAGCTTCAGCCAGTGCAAACATTTGGTGAGTGAACCAGTAGAGGGAAGACTTCTCTCTCTCTCTCTCTCTCTGTAACGCTGCCTTTCAAATACATACATAAATCTTTAAAAGAAAAATACAGAATGCTAGAGGCCAGCATTATGGCAGTGAGTTCAACTACAGCTTAGGACACACACATCCCAATTAAAGTCCTTGCATTTCCACTTCATTCCAGCTTCCTGCTAATGAATACTGGGATGCAGCAGAAGCAGACGATGGCTCAAGTACCTGGGCCCTGCCATGCATGTGGAGCACCTGAATGGAGTTTGGGGTATTTGGCTCTGGTTTGGCCCAGCCCTGGTTGTTGCAGGCATTTGGGGAGTGAACCAGTGGATGGAAGTTCACTCTCTTTGTTGCTCTAATGAAAATATTTTAAAAAAATATATAGGGGCCGGCGCCGCGGCTCACTAGGCTAATCCTCCACCTTGCGGCACTGGTACACCGGGTTCTAGTCCCGGTCGGGGCGCCGGATTCTGTCCCGGTTGCCCCTCTTCCAGGCCAGCTCTCTGCTGTGGCCCAGGAGTGCAGTGGAGGATGGCCCAAGTGCTTGGGCCATGCACCCCATGGGAGACCAGGAGAAGCACTTGGCTCCTGCCATCGGATCAGCGCGGTGGGCCAGCCACAGCGCACCGGCCATTGGAGGGTGAACCAACGGCAAAGGAAGACCTTTCTCTCTGTCTCTCTCTCTCACTGTCCACTCTGCCTGTCAAAAAAAAAAAAAAAAAATATATATATATATATACACACACACACATATAGGATGGGGCCGGTGCTGTGACGTAGTGGGCTAACCCTCTGCCTATGGCATGGAAATCTCATATGGGCACTGGTTCAAATTCTGGCTACTCCTCTTCTGATCCAGCTCTCTGCTATGGCCTGTGAAAGCAGCAGAAGATGGCCCAAGTCTTTGGGCCCCTGTATCCACGTGGGAGACCTGGAAGAAGCTCCTGGCTCCTCAGCTCTGGCCATTGCAGCCATCTGAGGCATGAACCAGCGGATGGAAGACCTTTCTTTCTGTCTCTCCTTCTCTCTGTAACTATACCTCTCAAATAAATAAGTCTTTTAAATATATATATATGTGTATGTATATGTATATGTATATGTATAGAGAGAGAGAGAAGGAGGATGTCCAATTAAATTAGAATTCCAGATAAACAATAAATAACTTTAGTATGTTTTGTGCACTGAGGCATACCCATACTAACCAAAATTACTTGTTCATTTGAAATTCAAATTTAACTGAGCATCCTGCATTTCATCTGGTAACCCAGTCTAAAAAGGTCCCTATGTATCTATTATCTACACAAACCAAGAACCACTTACTGCTATGTAGAAACCAGAGTCAGTTTACATCATAAGTGAATTAGCATATCCTAAAAATAGTCAGTTGCTGAACCTTGACAAGTCTTTATGAGTATACAGTAGGGAGGAGTTTTTCAAATAATTCAGCTATCAGTGGAGGGTTGGTCCAAATGTCCTGGGTGATGAGCTCTTGGTTTTGACTCCTGGAGCAGAGTAAAATGCACCTGCCCTCTCCTGTCAAATGGGAAGTGGAGAATGGGGCACATCTCGGAAGGAAGAGAACATTTCATTTGCTTTTCTCACCCTGTCTAGCCTAGCAACTGGTGTTCAAGCTGCCCAACCTAGGACCATAATCCAAAACACACGAAAATGAGGCCTTTCTTTAAAAGGAGGTTTTTATACAGCTATACACATATGTACAAGCAGCTTTGAGGCCCAGAGAAGTGCTTCCAAATGCTGGAGTCTTGGACAGTCTATCCATTATACATTAAACCACTATTGTATTGGGGATGGGGGGGCAGGGGTGGAATTTAGTCAAGAGTAAAAGCTCACATTCTGAAATAACAGTGGCAAAACACAACACTCTTGGATCCTGCATCAAGGGAAATAAAACTGGAAGAGGGACATGATTAGAAGGCTACCTCCAGAATTCTACCAACCCAGGCTCCTCCATCGGCAGCACGCCTCGGGGCCACCTTCGGTCCCCATCACAGCTTGACAGAGAAGGATGACCCACAGGAACAGCCCTGCTGTGCCTGAGGATTGTTCAACACTTGAAACGAGCTCCGGATCAGTTCTTGGCTGAAGTCCACCTGGGCCCCTTTCACGAAGGCCAGGCTATCAGAGTCCACCACCACTCTGGCTCCACCCTGCTCAAAAACCCTGCAGAGACAGCAGGAAGCCGTGAAGGAGCCTCACCCAGGGGTGCAGCCCAGGGGTGCACAGTCCTCGGCTTTCTGATCGCGTAAGGCACCACCTCCCTCCAACAGGGGCTGATTTTCTTAGGAACGCTGGGAAACGCTCAGGGACTAAAGCCTGGAATGCAGCCCAGCCTGTCACGCTACTGTGGACCTGGGCGGGCCCATTTCCCCCACTATAAATCAGCTACACTGAATCAAGACCAACATTTTTTGCATCCTCACTGTGTGAGAAGGGCGGTGCTAACCACCCTTAGGGAACTCTTCAAAAACAACGCAAACCCTTTACGCTCGGAATCAGAGTGCACCTTAAACTGGACACACTCTGTCCCTCCCGCGCGTCCGCTGGGGGCCCGTCCCCTTCTCCTTGCCTGTCGTCGGGGTTGATGACCGTGTCCAGCGAAAACTTGTACTGGAATCCGGAGCATCCTCCTCCCTCCACCTCCAGCCGGAGGAATTCTGACCCTTCGGTGATTTCCAGGAGCCTCTGAAATTCAGGAACCGGGATCGGAAACGCCGGCCAGCGGAGGGAGAGGGCAGGTGCGGGGCGGGCTCGGCGTCGCGGGCGACCCCCTTACCTGGACGCAGCTGTCCGTGAGTCGGATCTGCTCTTCGCCAGCCTCGGGACCGGAGGACGACGCTTCCCGACGCGCCTGAAGTCCCGGAGAGGCCGCCAGGAGCCTGCGGCGCAAGGGAGGAAGACGAGTCCGGGAACAGAAGGAGCCTGGCGACCCCCGCTGAGGCAGCTTCACGCCAAGCCCCGAGACCCCCACCGGCACGGCTTCACGCCACACCCTCGCTTCCCCCTCCGGCCTCAGTTCCCCCTTTCCCCCGGAGGCGCCAGAACTAACGTCCACCCCAAGTGCCCTTCTAGCCTTAGTACCTGCCCCTCGGCCAGCGGGCGACAGCTTTCAACGCCGAGGCCGCTAGCGACAACACGCGGGCAGCCGCCATCTTGCCCCCAAGAATCCCGCCCCTCGCACCGCCTTTATCACCGCCTTCGTCCGGGTCTCGGAGGCGGAGAGAATACGCCGGAGGGTGGAGCCTCGCTGGTTCCCCGCCCCCCGAGCGTGCCTATTGGGCTATGCAGGAGGAGAAGGGGTTTGATTGGCTAAGAAATGGTCCCGATTGGAAAGCAGGGGCGGGCCAAGAAAACTGGGGCGGAGCGCTCAGGGGAGGAGCTGGGCAGGGCGGAGCTGGGACGGCGTCCTCCAGTGCTCTGAGCGGACCTGATGGGCGGGACAGCGAGCGTCTGGGCCCGAGCGATCGGGGCCTGGCTCCCGCGGGCGGGGCCCGGGCGGACCTCGGCCTCGTCGCTGGTGACCGGTCGCCTGACGGGGCCCCTCCCCTGGCCCGCCCCATCAGGTTTATCTTGTGACCGCGGCGTCCACTCCTTGCTTCCTCGAGCCTAGAGCCTGGTTAACCACCATGCGCTTCCTGACTGCTGCGTTCCTGCTCCTGGCGCTCGGCGCCGCCGCGGTCCAGGCCGAGCCGGTGCGGTTCAAGGACTGCGGTGAGCCCCGGGCCGGCCCCAGGGTCCCACCCCGCGCTGCCACCTCGGGCTGGGTTGGGGTGGGATCCTCGGACGGCCAGGCTCAGCCTCGGACCCGGGGGCTTCTGGGGGGAGAACGTGCTGGCCTCGAGGCAACTCGGCCGCACACAACTTTGTGTCTCTCCTTGGGACGCGTGTTTTGGGGTCCCTGGGCCTCTGTCCTAAGTTTCAAGTTTGTGAGGCGGACAACAGGTCGGGATCCAGGGGGTGAGGGTGCAGACTTCCTCCGGCTTCTTTTGCTTTCTTATTCCCTTTTGCTGACAAGACGCAAGTCAGTTCCCCTCCTCTGTTCTATTCTTACTACTGAGGGCTTCCCCTGTCACACAATCTCGGGATTCTAAGTCATTTTTTTCCTCCTACGAAATGCATCGCGTTTCCAGTCGCGGCTTATGACCCGCAACTGCCTCTCGCGCTGCGATCGCACTCTGTTGGAAAATAACAAAGGGGGCAGTGGACGCATCCGGCCAAGGTCTGTAGAAGTCATTGTGGAGACTGACTCAGTGGTGTTGGGAGTTGGGGCGGAGCGAGGGGCCGTGAAAGAGACGGGAAACCGATCTTGCAGAATACCTGAGCAGGAAGGAGGCTTGGAGCTCTTGTAGTCAATCATTGACTTCCTGCCTCCTTCGCTAACTTACCCGAAGGCATAGGCAGAAGAGAACCGGAATATGCCGAGAGCAGTCCCTGCTCAGCAGCTAGGAAAGAAGTACAAAACGTTCCTGGGAAAGGTATTATTAAAAAAAAAAAAAAAAAAACACCTATGCATGGATTTCAAAAATGTTTGCACCCAAACTATCTTTTAATTTCTGTTTTCCCATGCAGTTTTTTGAAGTTCATTCATACGTGTTGAAAAAGTGAATGAGTGAGTGGGTACTCTTTCCACGGCGTCTTCAAAACGTGTGTGGAGACATAAGTAAAATCCTGGGCTGGGGCAGGACTGTCTAAGGACTAGACTCTGCCGGGCTGTCCCACCCAACTGGGAGGCCGGCACTTGAAAAATGCTATTTTTTAGCCGGCGCCGTGGCTCAATAGGCTAATCCTCCACCTTGCGGCGCCGGCACACCGGGTTCTAGTCCCGGTTGGGGCGCCGGATTCTGTCCCGGTTGCCCCTCTTCCAGGCCAGCTCTCTGCTATGGCCAGGGAGTGCAGTGGAGGATGGCCCAGGTGCTTGGGCCCTGCACCCCATGGGAGACCAGGAAAAGCACCTGGCTCCTGGCTCCTGCCAGGATCAGCGCGGTGCGCCGGCTGCAGCGGCGGCCATTGGAGGGTGAACCAGCGGCAAAGGAAGACCTTTCTCTCTCTCTGTCTCTCTCTCTCACTGTCCACTCTGCCTGTCAAAAAAAAAAAAAAAAATGCTATTTTCGCCTCATAGTACTGCCTTTTCCTCCACTAAACTCAGTGTCTATGTGTGGAGGAAGACACTGTATTAACTCATCCGGTCCTTAGACTCTGTTACAGATGAGACTGAGGCACTAGCCCGTGGGAGCTCTCACGACCAAGTAAGCAGAAGGAAAGTGGTAGGTCTTTGTGAGCTTCAGGTTTCTGAGGGAACATTGAAAAAAACCAATCCAGAAGTCGTTAGTCATTTGAAAGGGGAAGGTACACACCTGGGCGAAGAATTTCTCCAAGGGAAGGGGGCGGCTGCTACAGATTCTCAATTTACTTTCGAATTAGGAAATACTAGGTGACAACATCCCGCACCCACATCAAAAGTCTCTGTGGGACTTCCCCTGCTGTGAGATTTCCTGAAGTGGTGGTGCCGGCAGAGCCTCTTAGACTTCAGCTTTGCAATGTTTGAGGGTACAGCTAAGGAGTTTGTTCTGGTGGCATTTGAAGTCCAAGAACAACATGGTAGCCAAAAACCAGGAGGAAAGGACTGTGAGTGGCGCCTTTTGCTTCGTTCCTGCCGGGTCACGGGACCTGTGCTTGCAAGAAGCGTGTAGAAACCGGACAACTCAAAGCCTCCACATCAGCACCGATTTCTAACAGGTTGTCGATTCAAGGTCAGCATAGATATAGATATAGATAGATATTTTTTCCTGTCCACAAATGATGGGATGGAGTAGAAGAGTGCTTCTCAAACTGTTTTGTGTGCTTAGAATGTGCACAGCTTGAGAACTGTGCAGTGTTGGAGGAGCAGGCTGGGGGGCTGGGGGGCTGCAAGGGCTTACTTACAGGCATGGCTGGAGCCAGTCTCAAGATCCCCAATAGGGGGTGGCGTTCGGTGCTGTGCTTGGGATACCTGCACCTCATGTCAGAGTGCCTGGGTTCCAGTCCAGCTTCCTGCTAATGTGCACCCTGGGAAGACAGCAAGCCGTGGCTCGGGGACTTAGGTCCTTGCCACCCCCGTGGGAGACCCAGATTGAACTCTTGGTGCCTGGATTTGGCCTGACCCAGCCCTGGCTATTTTGAGCATTTCGGGAGTGAACCGGTGGATGGAAAATCTTTCTTTCTCTGCACCCCCACCTCGCCACCTTTAAATAAAATGGGGGAGAAAAAAATTACAAACGGGAACAGGAGCACTAGACTTGAGCCTTGCTTGTGCCACTTTAAAATCCTGGGTTGGCGTGGAAGCATTTCTGATCCAGCCCTCGCAGGACACAGAGCAGGGCTGCTGGCTCTTTGTCCTTCCTAATTTACTCCATTCGCCTTCATCGTATATGAATAGCTTATAGCTCCTGTTAGAGAAAGCGGAAGTTCAGAAACTTGTAGAGAATGTGTAGGTTACCCCTGGGTGCCCTCTTCTTCCTGTTGGAGGACTCCCGAACTCAACTGAGCTGGTGAGTGATAAGTTTCGAACCTGCCTGGAAACAACAGTAGAGGTCAGATGAGTCCTGTTTCTGACTTTTCCCGGTGCCTTGCTACTTCTGACCCTCAGGGAGTACTGGCAAGTGAATTATTTCCAGCAGTGATGGAGACCAAGACCGCAGGAGTGCTTCAGGGCAGAAGGAACCTAGACTCAGGTGGCAGGGTCGGGCCTCACTGCAGCTGCCCCTTCTGCTGTTTGTGCTAACTGACCCTATTTGGAGTTAGGTCTGATTTGGGCCCTACGGTTATAGGGAAGCCACAGAAAGACCATGACCTCTAAGCTCATCTTCAACTGTTGGAAAAAGCAAGGTCCTAATAACCTAGTTAGGGGGGCCAGGGTTGTGGCTTAGGTTAAGCTTCCACCTGTGACGCCAGCCTCCCATATGAGTGCTGGTTAGAGACCCCTGATCCAGCTCCCTGCTAATGCACCTGGGAAAGCAACAGAAGACAACTCAAGTGCTTGGGCCCCTGCATCCGCATAGGAGACCTGGAAGAAATTCCAGGCTCCTGGCTTTGGCCTTGGCCCAGCCCTGGCCATTGCGGCTGTTTGGGAGGGAACCAGCACATGGAAAATCTCTCTCCCTTTCCCTCCTCATCTCTCTGTAACTGTGCTTTTCAAATAAATGAAAACAAACAAACAAACCTGGTTAAGGTTTGAGGTACTGCCTTTTATTTTTAAAACCAGAATATTTTGTGACTCACAGGTTTTTTTCCCCCACAAAGAACATGGCTGAAGAAAACATAGAAGTGCAGTGGGGCTACTGTGTGCTTCTCTGTTTAGAAATGCAAGCCTTGGCGTAACGTGTTAAGCTGCTGCCTGCAATGCAAGCATCCCCTATGGATGCCTGTTCGAGTCCTGGCTGTTCCACTTCTGATCCAGCTCCCTGCTGATGCGTATGAGAAAGCAACAGAGGATGACCCAAGTGTTTGGGACCCAGAAGAAGCTCCTAGCTCCTGGCTTTGGCCTGGCTCAGCCCTGGCCATGTGGCCATGCCATTTGGGGAGTGAGCCAACGGATGGAAGATCTCACTCTATTGCTCTCTCTCTCTCTCTCTAACTCTGCCTTTCAAATAAATCTTTTAAAAAGAGTCATTCCCAGTTCGGAGACCGTAGGAGCTTCCTCTGCGAAGGGGGTAGGACCTCAGAAATTCTGTAGTCTGCTTGTTTGCAAGCGAATGGAATCAGTGGAAGCTGAAAAGCCAGGCCTGGGTACCCTGAAGGTCCCCTTTGGCCCGTATCTGTAACAGCGCATACAATGTGGGCAGATGAGATTTCATCACTGAAGTCTCTGAGGGTCTGGGGGTTGAACCTCTCGGAGAACAGTAGTGAGGGGCGAAGGTGTGAAGCTACATCAGGGGACCCGAAAGGGCTCTGTGTAGCTGAGTTTGAACCTGGGTCTTCCCCAAAGGCCTCACAGAGTGGTCACCCTGGAATTCCGTGGGGGTCTCCTTCCATTTGTCACTCTGGCTACAAATTCGAAACTTCCCTCCGGTTCCAAGTCTGGCTGACCCACAGAGTCCTGGGTCTACCCTCTTCAGGCCGTGTGATCTTGGACAAGTCACAGCCATCTTTCCAAGTCCTGAGACAAAGCCAGAAACCCCAGTGTTGTACGCCTTCTTTCCTACAAGTGCCTCAGATTTTCCCAGTCCTTGCTGCCCAAGACACAAGTTCCATAGTTTCTGAGAACAGATGACTCAGGAACTCCGAACTCCTGGAGCCAGGAGCTCCGTAGAGGTCCTGTCGGTCCTAAGAGCCGGCAGACTTTCCAGCAAACGGGAACAGATCCCTAACTTAGCGCTTGCGAAGCTGCTGGGGCTCCCTCCGTGGAGTCCTGCCTCTGCTTTGCCTTCCAGAGCGTCAGTTCTCCGAACAACTTTGATTACTTTTGCATTCTCTGCTAGAAAATGAATGTGGAAGTTGGAGTATTTTAATTAACAAGAAGGAAGCAAGCACCTTCCAGGTTTGGGGTTGAGCTCTGAGCCCTTACGATTAAGAATGGGAGACGAGGATCTGGGAACATTTGGAGTTTCTTCGGTTGTAGTTTAGCTCCTTTCTATGACCTTGTATGGGTATGGCCTCTGGGTACTTGGCTTGACAAATATTAACACCCACCAGCTCCCTTTCCGTCTGATTTACAGGCTATGACTTTAGGGGTGAGAGGAATCGGGGTTCTGCGTTATCATGTAGACTCCCTCCCGTGTCAGGAAAGCAGTCGTCTCAGAGAACACAGCACCTTCCCGCGAGGTGGGGGTGGCGCCTCCGTGGTGGAGTTTCCCTGCAACTCCAATTCACTCTCCTTTGCTTCAGGTTCCGAAGCTGGAGTTATCAAAGAAGTCAATGTGAGCCCATGCCACGTGCAGCCCTGCGAGCTGCAGAAGGGACAGTCCTATGGCGTCAACGTCACCTTCTCCAGCAGTGAGTAAACTCGGGAGTATTGCCATAAGCACGAGAATGGGGGACGGGGGAGGTGGGGGGCTGGCGCGGCGTTCTGTGACCTCCCTGCCAATCTGCAAAGCTAGAATTCGTTACGCCATCGGCCGCTGCTCTCGTGCTGGGCTCCAGGTGCCCGTTCCTCAGCGTCCACGGCTGCCAGACTCCCTTAAAGCGGGCAGCGCGCTGGCTGTGTGTTCCCGGGTTAGAGCACCACGTTGGGTTTTCCCGGTGCTATGTTGGCCCGTATTGCACAGCAGGTGTTTATGGGATGTCAGCCCTGTTTGACTACAGGCTTCAGAGCGTTAATGCAGACTCCAAGTCTGCAGACTTTGAAAACTCCTCCAGAATGTTCTTTTCAGCAATAAAACTTTCCGTTATTGTCCACGTTCTGAAAATAAGGGTGCCTCTAATACTGAACAGTCTGCAGGGTCTGAGGACCCACTGGACCCTCGGGAAACCAGGACTCTGAGCTTTCTCGAGGAAATATTATGGGAACTTGTTGCTTTCTTGTGCCACTTTTTTTTTTTTTTTTTTTTGACAGGCAGAGTGGACAGTGAGAGAGAGAGACAGAGAGAAAGGTCTTCCTTTGCCGTTGGTTCACCCTCCAATGGCTGCCGCGGCCGGCACACTGCGGCCGGCACACCGCGCTGATCCGATGGCAGGAGCCAGGTGCTTTTCCTGGTCTCCCATGGGGTGCAGGGCCCAAGGACTTGGGCCATCCTCCACTGCACTCCCTGTCTTGTGCCACATTTAACACCCACAGAGTCCCAGGTGTAGAGTTTGTATTTCTGGACAGGGTGCCTGCCTTGAATCTTTCCTCCCTTTATCCTATGGAGCCAGACTGCACAGTCCAATAAGAAACCTCAAAGGTCCAGTCCTCTCGTGTGTATAAACCTAGAGTGAGCTCTGAGTACTGGTGCCCCGGCTTCTCTCCTGGGCTATACCCTGGTCCCTTTATTGTTCCAAACCCCCCCCCCCAAAAAAAAAGTCTTCCCCAACCAAGGCAGAAGGAAAGAAACAGAGCCGATGCTTGGGACGCCCCGAGTACCCAGCCAGCTCCTAGCTGCGGCTGCTCTGATACCATGAATCCTTTATTCCTGTTGTGATGAGGGTAGAGTTTATCAAGAACTGTGCCTCTTTCTAATGCAGTTTCCAAAGGGGTCCCTCCTTCACCGTTGTTAGAGACCGTGCCATTTGAGACACACGAGATGGCTCTAATAGAACCTGATGTAAATAGGAAGTAGGAAGTTCACTGCCAAGAACCATGCCTTCTTGGCTGAGGTGGTTTATCCAGGTAGCTGTGATGTTCCTGAGAAACTATGAAAGGCAGGAAAGAGCAACACGGAGTTGGGAGCCAAAAAAAACCGGCTCCTGCCCATTGCTCCTTTCTGCATCATTCAATGGCTGCTCATGGCTGAACACCTGCGCTGCGCTCACCGCCAACCCTAACTACAAGCGGAAACAGACCCTAGGAATCAGGAGACACGGGCTCCACGGTCTGCCGTTCGAGCAGTGCTGTTGCCTGAGAGTGTGTCTGAAGATTTGGCTCGGAGTCTGGACACGGGCTCTTTTCTTCACCCTCTCGCTGGCTTTTTCCTCTTAGATGTTCAGTCTAAGAACAGCACGGCCGTTGTGCACGGCATCCTGTTCGCGGTTGAAGTTCCCTTTCCCATTCCTGAGCCCGACGGCTGCAAGAGCGGGATCAGCTGCCCCATCCAGAAAGGCCAGACCTACAACTACATGAACAAGCTCCCAGTGAAGAACGAGTACCCCTCGGTGAGTGCCGCCGGCCGGGAGAGCCTTGTGGTTGAGGGCTCCTCTGCTTTACGGGGAGGGGGAAGAAGTAGGTGCGAGGGTTAGGAATCGCGGGCGAGGGCAGGTTCTTCTTCCTGCGTGCATTTGTTCCGTCACACTAGCCTAATGCTGCCTTCTTGCACAGGGTATTCCGCTGGAGTCTCGTGGCCACCTATGCAAGCTGATATTCTTTCTAGTTTACAGATAGTGTTGTGTGATACGGACAGAGTCCACTCCACCAAGAAATACCACATCCTGGGTTTAGAGCCAGCTCTTGTGATCCGAAAACTGTGCAGTATTAAAAGGTTATCACAGAGTTGAAGATCCAGGCTGTCTCGGCATTGTCATCAGAGGATCCTGGCTTCCCCACTGAATGTGGCATCAGGACAGCCAGAGTTTGCTGACGCTGTGACAGAGAGGTGGCTCCTCCCCACTCCCTCTCCAGCCCCCATCTTCACCTCTGACCCCCTGCCCCTTGACCTGCTGTTTTTTCCACCAAGCACTAAAGATAGGTATTCTGATACGAATAGAGAAGCCAAGGAATTGATTTTTTTTAAAGATTTATTTATTTACTTGAAAGTCAGAGTTACACAGAGAGAGAAGGAGAGGCAGAGAGAGAGAGAGGGAGTCTTCCATCCACTGGTTCACTCCCCAGTTGGCTGCGATGGCCGGAGCTGCACCAATCCAATGCCAGGAGCCAGGAGCTTCCTCCAGGTCTCCCACGCGAGTGCAGGGACCCAAGCACTTGGGCCATCTTCCACTGCTTTTCCAGGCCATAGCAGAGAGCTGGATCTCTGTGTCTGGTGGAGCAGCCACCCGACACGGGAGGCTTAACCTGCTACACCACCTACATGTGCAGGCCCCCAGCACAACTTTCAAGAAGCTAGGTATCATTGTCATGCAAATGCTGCATTGTGAAGAAGCATTTGAGTACAAAAGAGAGGTGGTAACTAGTGCCCAGAGAGCTGACTTTGTCCTCATAAGAAGGAACTGCAGGACCCAGCGTTTGGCCTGGTGGTTAAGGCTTCAGTTGGACCCACCTTCTACATCCAAGTGAGTCCCAACTCCACTTCCAACTCCAGCTTCCTGCTATGCACACCTTGGGAGGCAGCCCTAATGCTTCCAGTGGTTAGGTCACTGCCACCCACAAGGAACAGCTGGACTGAGTGTCTGGCTCCCAGCTTTGACCTGGCCTGTCCCTACCTAGCCTTTGTGGATATCTGGGGAGGGACCCAGCAGACTGGAGTGTGTCTGTGTCTGTCTTTCTGCCTCTCAAATAAAATTTTAAAAGGATAGAAACGGTACAGTATCAGTGAGTCAAGAATTAGAGCAGCTCAGAACATGAGTTTACTAAGGCAAGGCAAGGCAGGCATTTCCTGAGCGAACAGTTTAAGGAATTCAGCCGAATCTATTGCTGCACAGACGGTTGTCCTTGACATCGCTCAACAGCCTACACCTCTTCAGCTCATCCTTTGACACCGCTTTGACATTTCTTTGTACAGCTAACAAGAGCGTTTCCTTATACATAAGAATCTAAGTTTACTTCTCTGCTCTTCATGGTTGCGGTTGGGAAAAGCTGGATCAGGTTGACATACGGGAGAGACTGTTTATATGTAAAGTTGTTATTCATGCAAGGTGTTGTTTACATATACAAGTCATCTGAGAGGGACAAGAATGCTGTAGAAATTATATTTGATCACAGGGAAGTTGCGTGGTGTTGCTAACAGTCATTAAGGCCACGCCTGAGTGGAGCGGGCATTTGATGGCAGGATTTAAGGGGAGTGTGAGGAACTGGGCAGTTGATTGCCCTTTAGACCTAGGACACACAGTGAAGCCAGTTATGGCTGAGGTCAAGTGCCAGCTTCATGTTTCCCTATTCTTGTTCTCTTTCTCCAGATAAAACTGGTGGTGAAGTGGGAACTTAAGGATGACAAACAGAGAAACCTCTTCTGCTGGGAAATCCCCATCGCGATCGTAGCCTAGAGCCTGGAGCTGCTTAATGGCCGCATGTCCATCTGGGCGTGCGAGGGCCAGGGCGGAGGGAGGGAAGACATCAGACCTGAAGCTTAATCCATGCCCCTGGATGAAAGGAATCGCAAGATGCTGCTTCCTGCCTCTCCACGTCCAAAAGCATCTAAGACCCTATTTCCTGAGCTCAGAACTGTTGCCTTACGAGAGAGAGGGAGAGGGAGTCTGTTGGGATAAGGCGGGCCCAACCAGGCAGCGCCTGAGGGGATTGCTGTGGGGCTGTCAGGTAGCTCGCCCTGTGGGTCCTGGCCGCAGAGGGGGGGTGGTGGTCCCCAGATCCTCCCTCCAGCTGGGCCGTGTCTCTGAAGGCTCCTGTTCTCTAAGTGCCTCGTGGAGTCAGCACCTCCGACTCCGACGGTGCAGCAGCCATGACTTCTCCCCCCCTGGTCCAGGAACTGGGTGCAGAGGGGGTTTCAGAAGTCAGCCCTGCGCGGCTGCTTTTCCGTGGTGGTGTCGTCTCTTCCTCTGTCTATGTGGTTTTCATTAAAGACAGCACTTGGTTAGCTGGTGTTTTGTTTGTCTTTTTTTTTTTTTTTTTTTTTTTTTTTAAAGAACATGAACTTGTGGCCTCTTTCTGTAGCTGGACATGTGTAGCTTTGAGTAAATAAAGTCCTGTCAGGCTTGTCTTCTTCATTTGGCCTGGGGTCACCCGCTTCCTTCAGACAGAGCTCATCCCCTAGGCCTGTGGATGCCAGTACCCAGCTCCATGGTCCCAGCAGCCCCGCTGAAAACCCAGCTCTTTCTGAAGTGACCTTTTCCGCCATTTTTCCCAGTTAGACCTTACCTGTCTTACACAAAATGACCTTGTTTTTCTTTTTTTTTTTTTGACAGGCAGAGTTAGATCATGAGAGAGAGAGAGAGAGAGAAAGGTCTTCCTTTTCCATTGGTTCACCCCCCAAATGGCTGCTACGGCCAATGCTTCTCCTGGTCTCCCATGGGGTGCAGGGCCCAAGCACTTGGGCCATCCTCCACTGCACTCCCAGTCCACAGCAGAGAGCTGGCCTGGAAGAGGGGCAACCGGGACAGAATCCAGTGCCCCAACCAGGACTAGAACCTGGGGTGCCGGCGCTGTAGGCGGAGGATTACCCTATTGAGCCGCGGTGCCAGCCTACCTTGTTTTTATTTATTTTACACAATCGCGTCCCACCCAACACAACTGAAAAGCAGCCATGAAAGCATTCAGCACACCCAGCTGAACACTGCTGGTACTGGACAGGTAGAGGACGATCCGGGTTACGGGTTGGGAAGAGGCGTGGTGACTTGGGAACCCTCTGCCGTGATGGGGAAAGCCTGGAAGGTTAAAAGTGAAACGGAGGGGCAGAAGTTTAGGCTAGCAGTTAGGATACCCGCGTCCACACTGGTGCACCTCGGTTCCATGCCTCCTCTGGCTCCTGACTGCGGCTCCCTGCTAACGCAGACCCTGGCAGGCAGCGGGGTTTCTGCCACCCCTGTGGGAGACCTGACTGGAGTTATCAAGCCTCAGCCTCGGCCTCGGCCCAGCCTTCGCTGTTGCAAGCATCGAGGGAGTGAACCAGCAGGTAGGTGCTCGCTCGCTCGCTCACTCTCTGAAATTAATTTTTTAAGAAGATAAAATGCGAAGTTGTAGCAAGCCATGGCTAACTTGATGAAATCTTGGTGTCTCCTACGGTTAAAGCACAAGCATGATTATGAGACATGTGTTTTTCTGTTTCTGTCACCAAAGCTTCAGTGCCTGCCCCCAAAGCCAAATTAAAATAATGAGGACAAGATCTGGGGGTAAAGGAATGAGAATAATCTATTGATAGAAGAGCGAGTGACAGACCTCTGGTCCCTAGAACTGCCACTCTGCAGGATGAGGGAGTTTGGGGGGTCTTTCCAGAGGCTACATGGAAGGGGTGTCAGTGTAGCAAAACCATCCGGGAGCCGCAGGAGGCTGGCACCATGGTGGCCGTAAGGTCCTTCCCTGAGGTCCACAGGCTGGCTTGGCCTCCTCTAGGAAAAGAGTTGAGATAAGAAACAAAGGCAGAGTGAGCCTTAGGACAGGGCAGCAGAGCCCTGAGGCATCAGCTTCCTGGCTCTGCATTGAATATAAGTCGTTTAAGTGTAGTTGATGTTACTTTATACCTAGTTACACATTGAAGCCGCATACTAGCAATCAGATTTTTGGCACAGGGATTGCAACCCTGTTGATAATTGAGTTGAATGACATGGATCTTGGAAGTTCCTCTCTTGTTAGAGCAGAAACCAAGAACGTCTTTTCTTAATTCATACAAAGCACTTACAGTTGTTTTCATCACAGTCACTTCACTAAACCCTTGTTTCTCAGCCTGTGAGTTTCCCAGGAGAACCATCAGGGGGCAGGAAAGCTCCAGGTAAAAAGTTATCCACAGCAAAGCCTTGATGGTCGATTCTGGCGCCATTCACCCACTACTAGCTGAGGTCTCTTGTGTTTTCTATCTCATTGAGTCTAAGGGACAGCCCGCCCTGTCCCCCCAGGCAGGCCGGAGGTGTGAATCCTAAAGGGGTTAACTGCTGTGGTTTCTGGCTTCAGACCCCTTGGAACTTCTACTTGGGTGCCCTTAGTTGTCAGCCAGGGAGAGTAATAGTGAGGTGGTGCAGATTAAATGAAATGAGGCACGTAAAACACTTGGAATGACCCCTGGCGTGGAACGCACACTCTGTGACTGCTGGCCATTGTTCTAGGAGACAGACTCTGTTCTTTGTCTAGAAACAGTTGGGCAATCAGAAAATTCAATCTCCCGTGTGATGATGTCTCCTCCCAAAAATGGGGTAATTGTGCACAGGAACTTCCTACAGGGCCTAGAAAATTCTAGCTCAGCTCTCGTGTGCGTGCCTGCTATCTCCCTATCCCACAGGATTCCTCCTGGCTACCTGCTTTGAGGCTAACAGCCACCCACCCTCATTCCATGCTCCCGTGCCTCACAGGCTACCTGCAGAGGGGACGAGTAGTTCCACTGCCCTCCGGCCAGGACAGCTTGTGACCATTCCCTGGCTTTCGGGAGACTCCGCGGCTGCAGCAGTGAGCCAGCTAGGGCTCTGGGCGGGGGTGGATTAGTTTGAAAGGTCGCCCTCCACAAACAGTTCACAGTCATTACAACACTCGGGAGCATAGGGTCTTAGGTCTCTAAAGTAAGCAGTGCTCTTTCCCATGCCCGTCTCCTGCTCTTCTAGTCCCTGAGCAAACCTCGGAGGCTTAGACTCAACTCTCTTGCATGAATTCCAAGGCAGTTAAATCCCAGACTCCCAGGCTGTAGCAGTATTAAAAAAGAAGACGAGCACCACTCCTGCTTACAGAATGAAGGGAGCCAAACCCCTCAAGTCCCCAGGGTGCGAGGTCAAGGGTGAGGCCTGGTGGTCAGTCCTCTCTTCATCTAACAGAAAGCATCAGCATAGAGTAATTCCAAATCCTGCATGTTGGCTTTTGAAATCTTAGTTGATTTTTTTTAAAAAAAAGAAACAGCTGGGTTATGCCTTGAGTGAGCTGATAAAACGGACAGTTCTCCGAGGTGGCCCTGGGCATAGGAAGGGCGACTTGGCAAAGCTGAGGCTGACGAAGAATGGGTTAGCCATTCACTCCGGGTAACCCGGAGGTGCACAGTGTGTCAGTGATCGGCTGCTATGAGCGCCAGGCCGTGGTGCTTAGGAAGGGAACGGAGTCGTGTGCACGGAAGGCACCTGGGTGACAGTCCCAGGGACCCTCTGGGCAGCAGACAGAACAGGACACAGGGAGTGGAGAGCGCCCCGTGAGAAGGCCTGGAGCGCCCAGCTGAGGAACCTGTGAGTTGGGAAGGCGGTGTGGGACCAGTGGCATGCGCCCCAAAGTAGAAAGTGGCTCTGCACCTCCGGGTGGGGGCGGCGAATGTCCCTGTTTAGGGGAGCTGAGTCGTTTGGGGTGGTTGTGTCTTTATCTCGGAAGAGAATCCCTGACCTACCCCTCAGCTTCTAAACTGAATAGGATTCACTTACAGCTGTCAGTTGACTAGCAACTAAATGGTCTGGGTGTTGGTTGCCATGGAAACAGCTGAAAGGCCCATTGCTATGGGAACCTACCATGCTGTCTAAACCAGGGGTTTGAGTCCTAAAAAGGGGGTGGGGGGCAGAAGGATGGGAGGAGCCCAGGGGATGGGCTGCATAGGTGGCTCTAGGGTCCCAACAGAGGGTGGGGGAGTGGGCCCAGCTGCCTCTACTTTCCACAGGCGTTCCCTGCCTGTTCTCTGCCCACTGCCCCGTGGTAGGCCCCAAGCACAGATGTTTGCTGTTCCACATGGACAGGAAGGGCATGAGATCCAAGAGCGGACCTGGCATGACAGCACCACTACCCTCACGTGCAGGGGCTCTGGGAGGGAAGCTCAGCTCCTCCCCGGCAGGCCCCTTCTCCACAAACCGTGTGTGCCAGACAAGCAGCCGGCAGGTGAAAGGATCAGCTTAGCTCCCACTGCCAGCGGGTCAGGCCCGTAAGGCGCTTGGCAGACAAATGTGTGGCTGCTGGCTTCCAGCATGGCGGAGAGGCTGACGTACCAGGTCGGCGAGCAGAGGCGCAGGCCAGCCGCAACAGTGTCTGTGTTCGGCATTAGGGAAACGCACGGCTCTGCTGTCTACACCCCCTCCCCACCCACATCGCCCTCGCAGCCAAAGGGGGACTGCAGGTAGATCAAAACACCAAGGATGAGGGTTGACGGAGATCCCCCGTGTGCACGCACGAGGGCTGTGAGAGTCTCTCCCGTAGCTTGCAGCCAGGGAAATCATGCATATGTCAGCTGTTCAGTGGGGAGATCTTTCACAGAAACAAACAGAACACTTCCCAGTGGCTCTGCCCTTAGCCTCTGTTAATATGTAGCCTATAATAAACCAGGGGGTCAGGCTAGATCATCCCTAAAGCCTCTCCCAGGACCGACAGCTTGTGATTCCTTGAGACTGGCAAAGGGAAACAGCAACCCTTGGCTGTTTGCAACGAGGCCAGAGGAGCTTGGGATTGAGACCAAGGCCAAGACCCTGGATCTCAAGGCCACCTCAGAGACGTTGGGCCCACGAGATTTTGGCCTGATCCTGCAGAACCCTCAGATGTGTGGTGTTGATCTCGTCTCCTAACCTTGCCTTCTCCCGCCGGCAGGGATTGGTCTCAGCCCCTACCATGGAGCTTTAGAATCTGGGAGCCTGGCACCCAAGAGAGGGTGGCACCCAGTGTGCACTGCGTTTGCCTGGGCTCTGTGGGGGAGAGGTTCCTTCAGGGAAGCAGCGGCAGTTTCTTGAGTTCGACAGCATTTCCATTTTTTAAGGGAAAATTTCCAGTTTTTAAATTTTTATGTATTTTCATTTGCTCTGAAAATTGGGGGGAGCGGATCTTCCATCATCTGGGTCGCTCCCCAAATGCTCGCCAGCTAAGAACTCCATCCAGGTCTCTCACATGGGTGTCAAGGACCCAAGTTACTTGAGCCATCACCTGCTTCCTCCCAGCGTGCACGTGAGCAGGCTGCTGGGTCAGAAATGGAGCCGGCACTTCAGT